TAATAATTATACAAAAATAACAAACATTTATGAAATAAAATTTATATTCAATGATCGACTCATTGGTCGCACAAATCGTTTTGATCGAAATATCTGCCAATTATGCAAATGATTAGATTTAATGGAACCAATGTCTTGGAATCATTGGGCGATTTGATCCGTTGCCGGCATTCACTACACACACGACTTAAGTCTCTTAACGTTGAGTAGACCTCTGCGGGCAATGGCTTCTCCAGAGCCACCAGAAGGGCGTATATCCAGAGCCCGGAGTGCTCTGTGAACCGGTACTGTCGGCACCACTTAATGAAAAAGCTCAACAATACGACCACTTCTTCGTGAGTCAGAGCGCATACAGTACTCAGAAGCGGTAGTTTGGGCTCAAGTTTAGTGCGCTTCTCGCGCTTCAACGCAGTGGTCGACGAGTCGGGCGTATCGGTCGGCGTCGACGACACATCCGACTCCTCTTCGCACACGGAATCGGTGTCGGAATCGCTGTCGTTGTCGCTCCGTTTGCCGATACAATACTCGCGCCACCAACTCATCGACCGATGACTAGCCGTCGGTCTGTCGGCGGCGGCGCTCAGACCGGCCGACAGTCTCTCAGCGCTCACTCGCGACAGTTTGAGCCTAANCGCTCCGTTTGCCGATACAATACTCGCGCCACCAACTCATCGACCGATGACTAGCCGTCGGTCTGTCGGCGGCGGCGCTCAGACCGGCCGACAGTCTCTCAGCGCTCACTCGCGACAGTTTGAGCCTAACTTTGCTAAACTCGGACACCTGTTCCCTCTGCCACTCCAGGGATGGCATCCATTCGGGTTTCGCTCTCACGAAGCCATTGGACTATTAGTTTGAAAAAACCACAAATCAATTATCACAACACGACTATCACTGGACCACTACTCACGTCTTCGATGACCATCGTTTGGTTGGACTTAAATTTACTTAAATCCATATCAGAGACAACAAAATCGGGACACTTCTGGGCCTCCAGTCTAATGGCATAGAAAGTATAGATTAGAGTCGAGACATATCGTCGGCCGTCATCGGCGGTAAAGGACTGACTGAACTCGTCTCAGATACTCTTCGCCAGAAGTGGGCGGACGCGAGGGGTCGTAGTCGTCAAACGTGGCCACCGGTAACTTAGGCACCAGTATTCGGTCCAATTGGTCGCCTCCCCTGTGGTCGGCCACGTCTTCGTCATATTCCTCGAAGTCGTCGACAAAACAATCCATTCATTCAAATGCGAAGAAAACACACAATAAGTCAAACATAAATGTCATGTCTTTTCGTTCAAACAAAACGTGTGTTTTTGTTATGCAATCAATCATTGCATTCAAAATATACGAGTCGTTCGCATATAACGTGCGGACACTGTTTTGGCGCCCCTTTTGGCCCCCAATTAATGTCACAATCAATACAAGCGATATAACAATCAATTGATTCATAACTCCCTCTCGTAAGTGGTTTTTGTACGTTATATATGAATTGCAATGAATGCTAAACATATGAAATATGCGCTAAATTTGCAAATAGTTATTTACAATTAAATTAAATGTAATTCTGTGTCATTGGTATAAGGGTTGGGAGGGGTTGGGGGCCCTCCATATGATCCAAGCAGTCATTGGATTGAATTAATTAATTTATAACAAAAACTATTAGCAAAACTAGACTCGCATTGAAAGCCATAAAACTGTAAAACTTTGTTAACAATTATAACACATTTAAGACATCGCGAGAAATGGAAACAAACGATACATTGATTTAATTGCACACAAATCATGAGATGTTTCGATACAAACACATTATTGTAACGACTTTTTGGCTTTCGTTTGAAATACAGTCCAAAAGTAATAGTGTTTTGCGTTTTCTTTCTTCCATTTCTGTCCCGAAAATCACTTCTCTTTTTGAAAAGACTTTTGGTTTTGTTTTTCGGAGTTTTTGTTGCCGTCTATTGTCTTGTAATTAGTTTTTGTTGATATCGTGTGAAGCAGTGTTTGCCGTAAGCAGTGATGGACACGAGTTACTCGCCGTCAGCGGTGGTCAACACTAATATCGCCGAAAATAGCGGTAATAATGAGAGCAAAGATTTGGGTCAAGAGTTTCTGTCGCAAACTCCCAACCGATTGGTTGTCGATAAGATTCCGGCGCCGATTGTGGCCAACGAGTACTGCTGTGCCGATGAGCTGATCGGTCAGCCTCTGGTCACTTGCGACGGCTCTCTGGCCATCAATCTATTCAAAGGCATTCGCGTCGATATAAACGCCAATCACTCGATCTATGTATCGATGGGTGACTCGAAAGTGTCGGTCAGTAATTCCGGACAAAACATCGGAGTTGTCCACCGATTCGGCCGCGTATTCAAAGAGTTGGTTCCGCAGAACAACTGTCACATCGAGAGTGGCATACATTTGGCCAAAATGTGCGGCCGAGGCATCACTTTCACGTCACTCAACCGATCGCTCATCTATTTGGTCGACTCCTCCGGCTGTAAGACGAC